AACAACAGAAAACAATGCACTAAAACTTGTAGAATACAGTGGTGGCATTGGGGTCAGCAGGAGGAACCAATGAACACAGTGGGGGGACACAGGAGACAGACATTACTGAAAGTATTATTTTCCAAATAGACTTCCGGGGACAATTTCTCTGCATTATGCTGGCCATACACCTATAGATTATCTGCAGATTTTCTATGGTCAGATGGAAAAAGTGCAAAAGATTCCTCCATCTACACTAAACTGTGAGGATGGAGGACTCTCCCGCTGGGCCAAGCTTCAGTATCTTGCTAGTCGGCCCCGCTGGCTGTCAAAATACCTGAACAATCTGATTGGATGCAGGCGTGGGTCAGGTTTTTTAGGAGCCAGCGGGCCTGACTAGCAAGATAGTGAAGCTTGGCCCAGGGGGAGATTCCTCCATCCACACAGTTTAGCGTAGATGGAGGAATCTGTTGCACTTTTTCCATCTGACCATAGAAAATCTGCAGATAATCTATAGGTGTATGGCCAGCTTTTGTTCGATGGCATAGGCCGCAGAAGGGGTATTTACTTTCTTCTTGGCAAGGACAGCTTTTCATTGTACTTTAATTTGCCATTGTAATTCCTGTGAGGTAGTTTTCCAAACAAAACGCCACATGATTGTAAATAAGAATACCCAATTCACGTATATTACTTCCATTATACAGCAAAAATAATCCTGATTAAGATGTCAAGGACCAGAAGGAGAATTGCAGAGAAATGTTTACAAGCATTCCAATACAATAACAAAATGTCACCGCCAATGTTTACAAACATGTTGTATGAATTGTCCAGGTTCCCCACAGCCAAGAATCAGATCCAGATGTAATCGCACTAACTGAATGAGATTTCACTGAGCATTTATGTTCCTTCTAGGATTGAAACTCAGTCTGACAAACTCTACTATGCTGCATAAAAAGGCACTGGAAAAAAACACTGAGCCCTGTAGATAAGAGGAATGTAAATAATTACAGGTCTCCATTATTAACCCTGTTATACACTCTCAGGAGTTGGGAGACAGTGTGCGTGCCTCATAGCTGACATGACAGCAACAGACAGACTTGTGGGGACCTCTGAACCCTGTACTTTGTAAATGAAATTATTATATGTAATATGTGTTGTATTTATGAATTGGATGTTGGTTATACAAAGCAAGTTCATATTTTCTGGTAAGCTTGAGGCCAGGTGCAGACCTGAGCGATCCGAGATCATGCTTCCCGGGATCGCGCGGTCCCGCACAATTGCAGAAAGTGGGCAGGCGCATGTGCAGTTCAGGTTTTCGGCCGGGAGACGAGGAGAGACGCAAGGTAAGTCTATGGACGCGTGTACCCGCATGCAGACACCGTGGGACAGGAAGTGCCAGCAAGCCCATAGGAGTCAGCGCTGGATCGGAGACCCGCCATAGCGCTGGAGGGACAGAGGAAAAGGACAGGACAGAAGAGAGAAGAGAGAAGAGAGAAGAGAGAAGAGAGAAGAGAGAAGAGAGAAGGGAGAAGGGAGAAGGGAGAAGGGAGAAGGGAGAAGGGAGAAGGGAGAAGGGAGAAGGGAGAAGAAGAAGAAGAAGAAGAAGAAGATCGGATTAAGAGACATCATTTAAGGTGAGTGCTGACATTAACATTGGGGGGAGGGAAAACATTTTTTGACTTTAATGTCACTTTAAGTTTATAGTTAAGCTTGAATACTGGTAAGACACTGAAGTTACAACAGACACTATACCAGGAGGGACCTCTGCTAAGTGGTACTGTCGGAAAACTTAAAGGAGAATTATGATGCGAGTGAAAATCACTCATCCTCATAGTTTGAGCCGATGTGTGACAATGAAACTGTCACATGTCGGCTCAATAGATCGGGAAGTGAGCGAATGCATACCGTCGCTCGCTCACTTCTCGATCATTTCCCTGCAGTAAGAGGTGACTGTCAGTCACCGCTCCACCCAGGGATTCCCCTCTCCTATCCTCCAGCGCTGAGTGGAGGAACAAACGGGGGAGGGGGCGGGTACAGCTGGCTCTGCCTCTGATAGACAGAGCCAGCTGTCACTCACGCAGCTGGGTGGATCTTGACAGCATTGTCGGGGTCTGTCCCGGCTGCGGCAGGCTCAGTATACTGCGAGCTGTAGCTCGTGATATACTGAGCTTTGAGTCACGGGAGGACGCTAGTACATGTCCTCCCGTGACCCTTAAGAGAACTATGGGGAAAATTACTTACCCCATAGTTCTCTTTTAAACATGCAGACTCTCGGATTCATGAAATAGTATCTTAAGCGATTTGACTTTATTGTGTCCTCCCTGTGCTGTGACACTGAAGAGTCTGCATATACTGAATGAAGTACCCATAATTGGTGCATGGGATAGCCTGGGAGCACATGTGGCATTCTTCTATACTTTTAAAGTGGGCACACAAACTTTTATTTACATATATTCCTCAATAGCGGCAAAGGATAAAGATTTACTATGTGTGCACCAAATTATTTTACAAACCGAGATTTTAATTTATAAAATAACAGTGACATCATCACTGTGCTGTGCATAGCCTGTACAGAGAGCAGAACTGTGGGAGGGGCCCAGTAGGTTCTTCTACTACAGGCTGTCTACAGAAAACTACAGGAGGGACGGAGTCAAGACACAGTGGACAAGGAGAGAGCAGCAGTGACTGGTCTTTATTACAGAAAGCTCAGAGACAAAGTTTCATGTGGATTACTGCACTGATACAGAAGAAATACACCAAGATTCAAATAAGAATACACATGCCCCTTGTATTTAGACAACATGTTCTTTAATAAATGGTTGTGTACTTTATAGTAAACACAAAGTTTAATACTGCTATTAAAGTAGTTTGCAACTGACTTAATTCCCAAAAGAAAACAACTTTTAGGCTTCATTCACTCCTGATTGTGGAAACGAATCCATTGCCCTGCCTACTGCTCAAACCACTCACACCTCCAATTTGTCCTTAGGCAGCTGCTACCACAATTTGCACCCCTACACACACACATACACACACATAAACCATCCTGCTCGCTAGACACTTTTAGGCGGGACCACACTGTTCACACATGCACATTAACATGTGTTCCGTTACAACAGCCCATTCATTTGATGAACTGTTTTTATAATGCAGTCCACCACAACACGCAGTATAGTACACTACTGTGCATGGCGGTGTACTATGACGCAGCTGTGTTGGCAAGATGCACTGGGGTTCCTACAGCCTCAAAGCTGTATATCTGCTGTGTGAGATCGAAGGCACTGCTGCATATGACTGCTAGTCACCATTGTGATCTTCACTGTTCTCCTTGCTGGAAGCTCTGACATGAGGAAGCAAAGCCCTGACTCTACCAAGATGGGCGCCCTTACACAGAGACACAGTGCAGAACAAGGCATTGTAAGTCAGTAATGGGGAAAAGATCAGCCGCAGGGAGAGCACAGGAAATACTGGGGTCTAGCCCTTCAGCTCCTCTTTAAAGTGTATCTCTGTTTTGTTGGCTTCCGATGTGTGCCGAGAATGTACACTGAGCTAAGCATGTGCACAGGAGTTCATTCTGTCCAGCACCGAGCTGTGCCAGCAATCTACACCAAGCTGTGCATGCGCACATGAGTTCAGTTACTCCTGCACCCAGCTGTGCCTGGCATCTACACCAAGCTGTGCATGCGTACAGTTCAGTTACTCCTGTACCAAGCTGTGCCAGGAATGTATACCACACTGTGCATGTGCACAGGAGTTCAGTTACTCCTGTACCAAGCTGTGCCAGGAATGTACACCAAGCTGTGCATGCGTACAGTTCAGTTACTCCTGTACCAAGCTGTGCCAGGAATGTACACCAAGCTGTGCATGCACACATGAGTTCAGTTACTCCTGCACCCAGCTGTGCCTGCCATCTACACCAAGCTGTGCATGCGTACAGTTCAGTTACTCCTGCACCCAGCTGTGTCAGGAATGTATACCACACTGTGCATGTGCACAGGAGTTCAGTTACTCCTGTACCAAGCTGTGCCAGGAATGTACACCAAGCTGTGCATGCCTACAGTTCAGTTACTCCTGTACCAAGCTGTGCCAGGAATATACACCAAGCTGTGCATGCGCACAGGAGTTCACTTACTCCTGCACCCAGTTGTGTCAGGCATGTACACCAAGCTGTGCATGCGCATAGTTCAGTTACTCCTGTATCAAGCTGTGCCAGGAATGTACACCAAGCTGTGCATGTGCACAGGAGTTCAGTACCTCCTGTACCAAGCTGTGCCAGGAATATACACCAAGCTGTGCATGCGCACAGGAGTTCACTTACTCCTGCACCCAGCTGTGTCAGGAATGTACACCAAGCTGTGCATGTGCACAGGAGTTCAGACACTCCTGCGCGGAGCTGTGCTGGAATGTAAACTGTGCTGTGCATGCGCACAGAAGTTCAGTCACTTTGGAACAGAAGTGTACCAGGAATGTACACTGAACTGTGCATGTACACAGGAGTTCATTCTCTCCAGAACCAAGCTATTCCAGGAATGTACACAAAGCTGTGCATGTGCACATGAGATCAGTCACTCCAGCACAGAGGTCGCCATGAATGTACCCTGAGTTGTGCAGCTCGAAAGTGAGACTGTAGTCCATCACAGGAGTGAGCTTGGAGCAGTGGCTACTTACAACATACACACAGGGACCATGGGGCACACAAGTAGCCACCCTCCAGAAGGAAGGACAGTGTCAGCACCAAATCAGAGATGATCTGAGGATCTACAGCTGAGTGATACACAAATAAGACACATTTTTGGTAATAGGATACTTGAATGTATTTTTAAGTTTGAACTCCTGAGTTTAGTGTCCCTTTAAGGATAATCTGCTTGTATCACTATAGAGGGAATGTGAGAGAAGAAAGGTGTACAGAATAAGCCAGATATGTTCAATGTAGAGGGGCTGATCCGGACCCCAGAGGGGAGATTCTTGGGGCTCCCTACACCCCCCCTTTTAGTGTCTATGAGAAAACAGCTGTTACTGACCTGGGAATGTAGTTGGTCTCCTCACCCAGGCGCAGTTGGAAGTCCTTCCATGCCGGACTGAAGCTCTCCTCCTCATGGTGCTCCTCACTTGGAGACTTTTGGGGTTGCCCTGTAGGGGGGTCCCGGCTCCCTTCTGTCACCTGTGGCCCCTTAGCCCCTCGGAAGCCCATGACGAAGTCCTCAAAGGTTATGGCTCCGTCCCTGTCCGTGTCCAGGCGCCTGAAGATGTTCTCCACCTGTGCCGGGCTCACCCTCAGCTCCGCACACAGCTCGGAGAAGTCCCCCCTTCCCAGGCGGCCGCAACGCTCGGCATCAAAGGAGAGGAAGAGGGCGCGGAGCCGGGACAACTCTGCCTCTTCTTCCATCCACGACGATGACAGCACGGGGAGGTGATAGATAGACGGTGTGTGTTCAATGTGGGATCAGGAACAGGACGGTGTGCAGACGTGGCCGGCAGTAGACTGACACACAGGGAAGCCGTGCTGTGTGCTCCGTCGGAGAGTCTGGCCACATGCCCTGCCAGGTGCCTCCTCCCCGGTGCTCAGGTGTGCAGGAAGAGGACACTTGTCAGTGTGGGCTCCCAGCATGGACTGGGCTGACACTACATTGTGTACAGGGTGGGTCCAAACTGCCACTACACACCGGGAACACACCTCTGACCAATGGCACACATAGCTAGGCTGGAAATGCTGCTTGCCTGGCTCTGTCTTGTGACCCAGTCTCTGTAATGCTGACAAAATTCCAGCAATGAGACACCTGGCTCAACTAAAGTCAATTGAAAAATCGAAGGCGCAAATTATCAGAAGATGCAATCACTGTTCTGGTATTCAGGGTGCTGTCTGAATACAGCAGGAGCCCCCCAGCTGTTGTGGAACTACAAATCCCACAAGGCATTGCAAGATTCTCAGGGGCATGACTCCCAGAGACAGATGCATCATGGGATTTGTAGTTTCACCACAGCTGGAGGGCTAGAGTTTGCCCACCCTTGGAATATAGTAACCGGTAGCAGGGGTATTTAGCGTTTATTGGGGAACTGAGCGACTTGAATGAGGAAAATCTAAATGTGTATGACCAGCTAGTGACACTAAACTCAGGAGTTAATTCATAAAAATACATTCAAGTACCTGAAATATTAACACAAATGTACCTTATTTGTGTATCACTCAGCTGTAGATCCCCAAATCATCTCTGAATTGGTGCTGACACTGTCCTTCCTTCTGGAGGGGGGCTACTTTTGGTCCCTGTGTGTGTTGTAAAGTAGACATCACTCTAAGCTGCTCACTCCTGTGATGGACAACAATCTCAGAACAAAAGTTGCCACCCTCCAGAAGGAAGGACAGTGTCAGCACCAATTCAGAGATGATTTGGGGATCTACAGCTGAGTGATACACAAATAAGATACATTTTTGTTAATAGTTAATGTACTTGAATGTATTTTTAAAGGAGAACTATGAGGTGAGTGCTTTTCACTCACCTCATAGTTCTAGCCGACCTGTGACAATGAGACTGTCACAGGTCGGCTCAGTAGATCGGGAGGTGAGCGAACACATACCGGCGTTCGCTCACCTCTCGATCCTTTCACGGCTCTCTGCCGTGACAGGGGAGGATCTGGATTCCCCCCTCCTCGCTCCGATCTGCCAGCACTGACTGGTGGATCGGACGGGGGAGGGGGCGGGTACAGCTGGCTCTGCCTCTGGATAGGCAGAGCCAACTGTCCCTCACGCAGCTGGGCGGATCCAGGCATAATTGTCGGGATCCGCTTCAGCTGCGGCGTCTCAGTATACCGCGAGCAGTAGCTCATGGTATACTGAGCCTAGGGTGACGGGAGGACGCTAGTTTGTGTCCTCCCGTTACCCTATGGAGAACTATGGGGAAAAGCCTTAACCCCATAGTTCTCCTTTAAGTCCTGAGTTTAGCATCACTTCAAAGTAGAATTAAAGTGTCCATTTTTTTACATGTATACAGCTAGCAAGCAGTAGATATATGCAAAAACATAAAAAAAAAAAAAAAAAAAGTTACCAAACAGGTAAATACTTTTCTCTGTCTCGCAGCTGTCTCTGCAGCTCGCTCTTGGCTGCAATACACAGGTCCCGAACGGCCATGCAGGAGGATGATGGGGCGGGCGCATTCGCACAGTCCATATCACCAGCGGGGAGAAGAGGAGATACTCAATAGAAGTGAATGCGCACAGCTGTGAACGTGCACGTCGGATAGACTCCGTGGGTCAGGAAGAGACAGTGAAGTGATGATCTATAGCTGAGTGCTACTAAACTCAGGAGTTAAACCTTAAAAATGCATTCAAGTACCTTACCTACAATCAAAAATGTGTCTTATTTGTGTATCACTCAGCTGTAGATCCTCATGATTTGGTGCTGACACTGTCCTTCCTTCTGGAGGGTGACTACATTTGTTCCCCATGGTCCCTGTGTGTGTTATAAAGTAGTCACCACTCCAAGCTCACTGCCGTGATGGACTACAATCTCATGTTTAGTTTACTAATTTGTGTTGAGATTGTAGTCCAGGACAGGAGTGAGTCTGCGCTGGGTCAGAAAACGGCACCAGCACTGGATGGACTGCTGGAAACAAGTGGAAGGAAGAAGATGATCGGATCAAGAGGCAGGTAGGTACTTAAAGCAGCATTACAATGGGGGAAGAAATGGGAGGGTTTAATGTCACTTTAGAGCTCATCTCTAGGCAAAGCAAAAACCTCCTCTTGCTACTCCTGCACTGCAAGGGTTAATTGTTGGTTTGTGTCTAGGAGACCGGTGTAAAGAACTTTTACTTACCTGATTCCCACTGCTCCGGTGGTCAGCATTCACCTTTCTCCCCTTCCTCTCTGGCTGGTGGAATGTCACTACGCATCCTCATGTCTAATGCAGGGCTATTGGACCCGCATTAGATGTGATCCATAGACCAGCAGAGCTTAGGGGAGAAGAGGTTGTGGGGACTGGTCTAGCACCCCCAGGCAGCAGGGATCAGGCAATTAAATCTGCTTTACTCCAATCCCCCAAACAAAAAACAAGCACTTAACCATTGCAGTGCAGGGGTAGCCCCACTGCAAAGGTAATTTTTTAGTTTGCCCAGAGATGGGCTTTAAGTTAGAACTAAAGGATTATTTTTTTTTTACTTCTGGATAGAGTGGAGAGGGATTGGAACCTCTGTCAGGTTTTTCTTGCTGTCTGTGTACCCATTAGGGAGATTCACCCCCTTTATTTGTCCTGGTGACTGTTATCACTGAAAGTGAAAGAAAATCCTAAATCCCATTTGTCATCAGAACAGCGTTGAAATCTTCTAATGAGGAAACTAGTTTTGGTGATCCCTATGACAGCAAGGGATGTCCCTCACTTTGCAGGGATTTCCTCTCACTTTCTGTTGTGGCTACGGGACATAGGTAAAGGGAAATCTCCCCAATGGGAAACATGGCAGAAAAGAAAGTAACAGGGGTTATAGCCCTCCCTTATACCAGTACTCTGGATTATAGGTTCCTTGAGGGCAGGGAATGATGTGCATGTGCAAAGCGATGCGTAAATATTGTTGGTTCTATGTAAATAAAATACCTGCAATTAAAAATAAAGTGCACCAAGATTATACCCTTCCAAAATGTGCCACAACCTCTGAGGCTCACTTATTAGCAATGCCACAGTCACAATCGATGATTGTATTTTGATATCACTTGCAGAAATTTTCCAGCAAAAATGTATACAAATCATTAAGGGGTCTATTCACAAAGCTGCCGAAGGATCTAGCCATAACTTCGGCTGATCCTTCGGCTAGCTTCGACCCCAGGACCCCTTCAGTTCAGTAGAACCGAAGTGCTGCTGTAGGGCTAGTCACTATAGCCCGTACAGCTCCCGAAGGCGGCCTAGGGGCTCAGTCAAGCCGAAGGCATATGCTTCAGCTCGACTGAGCCAAGGTGAAAGCCGAAGCTTGCCGAACAGCAGGCCATTGGCCGGCCGACAGCCTGCTACTTACTGCTGGGCGGAGCCAGCTGTCATCTCATGGCTGGCTCCGGCCACTTGCACAGACAGATCTGCGTCCCTGGTTACCAGGTAACCAGGGACGCTGATCTCAAGACAGCCCAACTCTCCGGACGCTTCGGGAGTCTCCCGCTATTAGATATCGGCTGCCCGGGAGAGAAACACTTTCTCCCGGAAAAGTTTTACTCTGCTCGATCGAGCAGAGTAAACCTTTCCCTGCTCTGATGTCTTTTTTTTTTTTTCTTCTGACATCGGAGCCGTTGGCTGTCAGAAAAAAAAAACAGCATAGAAATGTATAGCTACATTCCTATTGGCTATTTCAATTTGCAATAGCCAATAGCAAACTATCAGCAGAGGGGACCTGAAGTTCTCCATCAGGTCCCCTTTAGTAATTGACAGCAGCAGAGGGCAGGTGCAATAGCTAGTTTGCTATTGCAAAGTGAAAGAGCCAATAGGAATCTAGCTATGCATTACTATGGTGTTTTTTTTTTTTATTATTCTGACGGCAGCAGAACCACCCGGCCAACAGAAAAGAGTTGGGCAGAGCTAGCTGTCACTGCTAGCTCCGCCAAATCGTTTTCTATTTTATTTTTTCTACTTTTTTAACTTTTTTTCTTTTCTGCTTGTTACCACAGAGGTACCGGGCAGAATAGCCGAGCCGGCTATTCACTCACTGCTGTTCGGCATCTATGAGAATAGACTGAACAGCAGCGAGTAGCCTGCCGGAGGTACGGGTCAACCGATCCAGATGTTGGATCGGCTGAGTCAAACTCCCTCTGCACTTCGGGTCGGCCAAACCTGCTGAGCATGTTTGGCTGACCCGAAGCCAGCCTCAGCAAGCCGATGTACGGCAGCGAGCGAGCTGCTGGAGTTTCAGCTCAGCCAAGATGTTGGATCAGCTGAGTTGAAGTCCTTCTGCACTTCGGATCAGCCAAACATGCAGAGCATGTTCGGCTGACCAAAGCGCAGCCGAAGGCAGCCGACGTACGGCTGATTTCAGCTGATGTACAGCTAAAATTAGCCGTAGAAGCCAGAAGTGAATTGAACATAGTTTGGCTCACTTCACTTCGGCTGGGTTATTCACAACTGTTTTCTATTGGCTGGGCGGTTCTGCTGCCGTTCACCCCGAATAGAAAAAGATTTCTAAAATGTAAATAAATAGTTAAATTAAAAAAGAAAGTTTTTAAAAAAAGGAAAAAAATAACAATAATTGGGCGGAGCTAGTAGTGACAGCTAGCTCCGTCCAACTGTTTCCTATTGGCCGGCACCTGCTAGAAGACTCTAGCAGGTGCCGGCCAATAGGGCCAATGAAAAACAACTGGGAGGAGCCAGCCGTGACATCACTGCCAGCTCTGCCCAGTTGTTATTGTTTGATAACAGTTCAGCGT